ACCCTCCTTTCAACTTTATGGGTAATTCTTTTCTGTGTCTTCCCTCAGCTGGCTCTAGAGGAGGGGAACCATTCAATAGTTGAGGGATGGAGGAATGAGGGCAGAAATAGTTGCTCTTTCATAAACTTTGCTTTTCTTCACAGGCCATTAGCTCTCTTAATATAGCCAAGGGAGTTTAGGTTTTGATAGAAGTTTTTCTGGAATGTTCTATGGCAGACATACCTGACAGCAATAACTTAACTTGAGCATACTCTGAGAAAGATTCTATGGTCTGAGAATGTGTGCTCACAGTTCCAAGCTACGGAGTCCAGAAGTGGCCAACCCAAAGATTTATTCCTTATCCATGAGGAATATCTGAACTTCTGGCCCATTGTGTGAACACAGGCCATATAGGGGATTAAAGCCTTTTGTTTTGGGTTAAATGAAGGTTGCCAGGTTGTTGTTGAGGGGAGAGTGCTAAGTGAAAATGCTGTATCAACTGCATGCTTTTCACAAATGGTAGTGTTTCTTCTCTATGTTCTCCTTATATGTAAGTTCCTCAATTCAATAACCCCTATGTCTTCCTGGCTCTAGGTCTCTTCTTCAGCCTCTTGAACATAGTGCCACTCCTACTGAAGTCAATAGGGGTCTGGCATGACAGATACCTTCTCTTAATAAACCTCTTGGGGTTGACTAGTTTTTTACGACCATTTCTTTGAACTTAAAATGGAACAGAGTCCCCAGAAATTCTGGTATGTTTCCATGAGTTGCTGGGTGAGGGATTAAGTAAGTACATTCTACAGTAACCACAGGTGAACAGGAAAGGGCTATTAGTTTTCTACATTCTCACTGAACACATCAGAATGTGCATATAAAAAGCCCCAGAAGCTCTTAAAAAGAAGTATTTTAGGGTAGGAAAGATTGTGAAAATTTGTAAGAACCATTTTTATTTCTAAATTATTCATAGTTGAAATATTTGTAAATAAGCATGTATTCCCTTTGTAATTACACAAAACAAAGAAAAGTATTATTTTTTAAAAAAATTCTGGTCTGATTCAGAGGCTTTTTAGATTAAAAAACATCATTCAAGAGAATGTGTTCAGTTCTTGTTGGGCTGATCTATATGTTAAATGACTAGACTTAAGAATAAAGACAAGGTTGATAAGCATGCCGCTACCTACCCAAAATGACTTTTTCTTCTCCCTCTACTCATTTTGCTGATGCAAATTACTATTCCCTTGTAACTAGTAGCTCCTATCAGCAACACAGAAATACAAGGCTTTCTGACCTAAAAGTCAAGCAACTGCCCAATACAACTTTGGTAGTCAGAGGCAACCAGTTTATTAAATGGACTTAATTCAATAAAGGGCACATCAAATGTTAAAAATATTTAGTCCAGATTCAGTAAAAGCTCCAATTTCACATATAATTTAAAGGAGTGGGGAAGATTTTTTTAATCATAATAATTTATTTGACCCAATATATCCAAAATATTATCATTTTAATATGTGATCAATATATAATTGTTTATGAAGTATATCTTTTGGTACTAAATCTTGGCAACTCTGTCTATGTTTTAAGTTTTCAGCATATGTCAGTTCAGAGCAGCCTATTCCATGTGCTCAGTAGTCCCATGTGGCCAGCAGCCGCCACACTTAAGTGCAGCTGTGAGGGCTCTGACTCCCTTGAGCTAAGGAAGGTGAAGGGCCTGAAACACTCTTTTCTGCCAGAAGTGAGGGAACAGCCTCTGCCTCCCAAAATCTCTCCTCAGGCCCAAGGGTAAGAGATTTTGCCCCTAGAAAGTGGGGGCTGCAAGAAGAAAGTGTCCATAGGTACCACTGCTGCACACCTGATGCCCATCTACCATCCAGAGATCAGACAGTAAACAAAGGATAATAAGGGCCTTCTAAAAGGAAACTCAGTGTCTTCAGATCTGTCTACAGCCTTGACCTCCAAAGTGTACATATGGAGGAAATAGATTAAAGGTGAAATTCTCACCTTGCTATTTGCTATTTGGCCTTGGCTCCAATGGTCAGGCCGTGGCTGTTTCCTCCTGTGGTGTGGAAGACTATGTAATTTAAGCACCAATCACATGCACACATCTACATGCATTTCTGTATAACTCACCACTACCTTACAAGAGATCCAACTTTAAGTAAGGGGAAATAAAATCTCCACCTGTAGGGTGCCTTCTATTTGCAGGTAACTAGTAATCAACCTGTTATTGAATCCTGCCATCCCATTCACACTGGGTATATACATTAGTTAACTATTGCATAACAAACCATGCAAGACTTATTCGCTCATGATGGAGCTGCTCAGCCATTTGGGCACGGCTCAGCCGGGACATTCTCCTGGGCTCAGGTGGGTTCCCTCAGGCATATGTGGTTAGCTGCTGGTTGACTAGGCAGCTCTGGTTCTGGGCTTGGGTTGGCTGTCAACTGGAGCACTTTGGCTCTCCTCCCATGGTATCTCATCCTCCAGCAGGCTAACAAGAGCTTGCAGTCATGGAGATGGCAGGGTTTGCCAGTAATGGGACATTTCAGGAAATTTTGACTTTCCTCAAAATTCTTAGGGGAGTATTTTTCCTTTCAGCTCCAGCACCCTTTCACTGTGTCCTGATTCTGGGATCTCTTTCTCACCTCCAGGTGGGCAAAAGACCTGGATTCCATCCCCAGAGAAAACGGAGGCCTCAGGGCTTCCATGGAGGAGGGCCAGATTTTTATATTTACTTGTCTGCATTCTAATTTTGAATTCTCCCTTATATGCATAATTTAAAAGGGATTCAATAATTTACTCTATAACTCTTAGACCACTCAGCCAAATAAAATTTCTACAAATTTCTGCAAGAGAAGGTTCATGAACAGATTTATTTAATGAGAACTGTTGCTGATCTGTGGAATTCCATCCTTAACTCCAAAGAGTGGTGTGTTTGTGGGTGGAGTGGAGGAGTGGGTGGGTTGTAGTGGGGTGTTACCTTCTAACCTTTAGCCTAGTAAGTGAGGCCTCAAGGGAGCTACTTGGAGAATTTGAAATATGGCCCCTGAAATTGAGAGACACAGAGGGCTAGTGTCTGACCCAGTAGAGAGCACTACAGTGAACTGTGGAGTCAGGGGCTGACTTTCTTGGGTATAATCAAGAAGGGCTGATTCCTTTGATTGTAAAACTAGTAGAATGGAGCTACATTGGGATTGGCCTGTGTTCCCAAAGTTGTTAGTGCAGGATATGTATCATCATTCCTACAGAGAGGATTTAGACTATTTGAAGAAAGGGAAAGGACTGGCTTGGAGTTTTCTTAGACCTCTCCTCCAATTTAAGTGAGCTTCCAGAAGAAGGTCACAAGACCTCAGCAGGAAAAGGCATAATTAAGCGTACCTCAGTATGCTCTAGGACTTATGGAGGAGATATAAGTGACTACCTGTTAGAGGCCCAAGTCCCCGAAAGTTTGTGTCTTTCCACAGACTTTTTTATTGATGCTATTTCAATTGTAAAAGCCATGAGCTGTATGAATGTCCGAAGGAGGTAATTTTCCTTAGTACTACCCATTCATTTGGTAGTCAGAGCCAAGGACACAAAGCTCTAGCCACTCCACAAGTCAGTCAATATTGCAAACCATATATAGCAGTATACTTAATCAACACATAAATATTATAGGCTAAAGATTCCAAACCAAAATAACATTTAACGTCAAGAGAAGGGTTAGGAAAATGGGGTTAATGAACCAATCTAAGGAGAGCAACATGGACAAGGAGAGTGTCCTGGGCTGATCAGGACGGATATCAACACTTTGCAAGGAAGAGTTTTTGATTTGAGCAGAGCCTTTGGTGGCAGATGCTGGATGCTGATCATGAGTGACAGCAAGACAGTGTTTGTTAAGATGACTATCTCGAGCTGGTGAAGTTCTACTCTTTTTATAGCCTCAGAGTCCTCTGGTGATGGCTGAAAGTAAAGATTGTGCCTGGTTATGTCCTTATCTGGTTGGGTGGAGTCTCTATTGATTAGGTGAACATTTGGTCCCTTTTGGCACGATTCCTTTTGAAATATAAATGGAGTCTTTTTCTGCGATGCAGTTATTTATGTCAAGGGTGCTCTATACAACCTGTAATAGAGCTATCAACCTGGAAGCGATATCTCTACTCACTTTAAGGAAACTATGACAGAAGTCCCCAGGGATATGAATTATTGAGGGAGAAAGAGTGAAATCCAAACATTTGCAGGTATAGAGGGCTTAAAGCCAGCTTATGATGGTATCAGTTCCAATTAAAACTGTATTCTCCCCTGTTCTCTTCTTCCCTTCTTATTCTGCCTGGGCAGGAAGGACCATCCTACTTTTTCTCTACAGCAGGCTGCTAGCCGGAAGTAGATTCTAGGTAGACGATAACTCAGCAACACATACTAAATTGGAAAAAGATGATGGTGTTCGTTCTCACAAGTAGTATCTTGACTACATTGCAAGCGATGTTTAAATGAGTGGTGAAACATGCAAAGCTATGTTTAAATGAGTGGTGAAACATGCACCCACACTCCCGGTGGACTCAGGTTAAGCCATCCCAGGAATTTCCTCCTTCGCTTCACTTCGGGCCTATGGCAGTGTGTTTTGTTTGCTGATGCATACACCTTTACGTAAAAGCTATCGTAGACATTCACAGGCAAGCATACATCTAAATAGAAAGGCTATAACATCATGTGGTAAGTTGTGTCCAGCCAACCAATTATCCCAGCTGGGCACCAGTGCCAGTAAATTAAAGTCATTTGGGCGGCTAGTCAACTTTTATGCAGAGTCAGCCATTCTTGCAACCTGGTGAGGAGTTCTGCTAATTACATTCCACCTACACAAGGGCCAAACTTCGTTTTGGTGAAGAAGTACCTCTGAAATTGACTTGGATCTCTAGGGCCACCTACCCCATCCGTTGTGGACTTCCTTTGCTTTTCCAGTCTATCAGATTAGGCTGGGTCAAGTATTCCAGTAAGATTGCGCTGCTGTGATCCAACACCCTGCTCTGCCTGCCTCCCACATCTCTGCCAGCCCGGACAGCTTGATGACGTCACTGCGTTCGGACGCGCCCCGCCCCTTGAGCAGTCCTCGCTGCCCCGCGCCGCCCAGCTCGCCGCCAGGGGACGCTAGTGGGTCGAATCGCCTAGGCAACCACTTGCTCCTCCCCCTTCGCCCCTTTAACCTTTAGGGTGAGCGAGTGCAGAGTCCCTCACGCTTTCTCCCCTTTCCCCCTCCCAGTCCCCACCCCTGACGTTCAGTTCGGTCTGGACCGGAAGCGAAGATGGCGGCTGCTGGCGCGGCCTCGGCAGAGCTGGTGATCGGCTGGTGCATTTTCGGCCTCTTACTACTGGTAGGGGAGGCGCTTGGAGTTTTCCCAATGTTTGCAGTGGCGGAGGGAGGGAGGGGCCGGGGCCTCTCCGGGCCCCGGAGACCCTCTTCGCTCCGCCCGCTTTTGGCTTGGACTGTGGGACGCTCCTCAGTGTTGTGGGCTACGGCGGGCGGCGGGGGCAGGAGGGTGCTGATTTCCGGACGCTTTTGCTTTCTTTTTACTGATGGCGTCTAAGGTTCCAGGGTCCTTTTTGGAAGCTCTTGCGCTCATCCCTGACTTGGGCAATGGGGCCGGTGGGGTTTGGGGGCGAAAGAGACTCTCGGGATTGAGAAGCATGTGGTGGCCTTTCGTCCCCTTGTAAAACAGTGGCATAAGGTGTAGGGCGGCAGCGCTGGATCTTTGCAAGTTAAGTAGGCGCTGGCGTTGTTTACTTGTCGACTTCTCTGTATGTTTTTCCCCAATGTTCCCTACCCTTGGGGCCAGTGAGTCTCCAACCTTCTGTGCCCATTGTGTGATTCTGCCTTGATGACGTGAGTTGCTCGTTCTGACTTCCAGGTGTCACATTCTCTTCCAATCTTTTTTTGATGGGAGTAGATGCCTGTGGAGGGCAGAGCTGTAGCCCTTTTTATTACCAGTATCGGTGTATATACTACTACCTGTCTGGCCTCAGGTGCTTTCTTTTCCAACGATCTTATTTCTGTACATTTAGTGAGCAAAATGTAGACTGAAATGGCCCAAAGTGGCCTGGCTATTACTTCTCTATTGATATTAAAACCCTTTGGCTTATTTTATTTGGGAGTTCGATTTATTTCCTTTCATAAGCTCTCTACCTTCTCAAATCTTCTCTTTTCTCATCTTCCGAGCCTGTTGTTACTTTGTGTTCCGATGTATTTTGACCTTTTTGCATTGCAAAACAAAAGCAAACCTACAGTTCTGGAAATCAGGCTTGTTCGGTTTTACTTTAATTGTCAGATTCCATTAGTTGTCTGGTACCTACGTAGTATGTCCTAGTAAATTTTTGCAGTAGAGACAAAAAAAAAAAAAAAGAGAAGAAAGAAAAAAAGGATGGCGTGTGAAAATTTAAGGAATGGATCCTCTTATTACTGCCATCACTGTCACAGATGAAAAACACTGCCTTTACCTTGGAACATGTTAATCCTTTCTTGGGGGAAATGAAACCCTAAAGGTTGACTGTGGTCTCTGCAGCTGCCCAGTCCTATATTTGGAGAGCCCCCCGGCTTTTCCAGTCTATCCAATTCCGTTTGTTTAGAAGAAAATAAATAAGCATATAATGTGTCAAAGTTAAGGGAGACTATCTTGGCAGTTATTAATTAATAAACATTGAAGGTACAGAAATGGTTGTGTGGTGTGAATTGTAAGACGATGTAAATGAAACAAAAAATGGCTTTAAAGAGGGTCTGGAGATAGGAAAACTGAAATTCTTGAAACATGTATTTTATGTACTGAAATCCAAAGTAGGACTGTAAATAAAATAGGACTTAAGAGAAAAGACAAAAATATTGGAAAACAATGAGAGATGTGGTAGCGTTTGGACCGATGAAAAAAAGGAAGCCATTTAAGTTGGCAATATTACAGCAAGAACTATTAAAATGAGAAGAGAATTAGGAGTTTGACACTTGCATGTTGGCGTTGAAAAAAGCATTAGGAAGAAGGATTCTCGTTTAATTTTCTGCAAATCTCTTTAAATCCTGGTTTATTAGAAGAAAGACTGGTTTCTTACGTTGGCTTCTACATTCAGTCTTTTGGGGTATGTTATTTTAGTCGAAGTACGAAGAAAATAACAGCTGCAGTGATAGGCAGTCAGCAACAGAGGAGTATTTTTCAGGTAATTATGGTGGATGTTCTTTGATACTACACCAAAGCTCAACAAGTGGAATCTTCTTAAAGGTCAGTTGCAAGATGGAACCTGAAACCCTATCAATGAGCTTTTCATTCATTGTTACATTAAAATCCATTAGCCCATCTTGCACTCTGAATGGATCTTTTACCCGTGCATCGTTTTATAACATGATGCTTTGGTCATTTAGAAAATAATTGGTTTACTGAGTTATGCACATCTTTTAAATATGGATACATTTCATTACACAATTTCAAAATATCACATTTCATTTCTGATCTTGTCAGAAATGTCTGAAAATTCTAAGTATTGAAGGGTTGTCAAGCTCGTAGTGGTGGATAGAAGTCTTTCAAAATCCGATTTTCATTTGGAAGTTTGACTCTTATCAATTGTATCAAATACTGTCAGTTTGTCTTTAAGTGATAGGTTCCCTTTGTTCATTTGACGAAAATCTGCCAAATAGCAAAGTCTGAATAACCATAGTTCGGCAGTTCTTCTTTCAAGTAAAAATGATGTTGCTTGAAGAGTGGTTGGTTTGGCTTTTAATTCTAAACTTTTCCTGGAGATGGCTGTCACATCTTGGTATGCTGCTGAAGGACTGTCAAGGATTGAAGTTCAATAAAATTAATTTATACTTCTTTGTGAAGCATAGTCTTAATTTAAATTGTACTTTTTTGAGCTTGTGGTGAAGAATACAATTACTACTGGTGCAGTGTGGTGCCACTGTCTTGATTCATGCTAATGCACCAGTAGCTTTACCTACCATGGCTATGAACCATGAGTGCAAATATCAGCACAGTGAAAAAGGCAAATAGCATCTTAGTAATTATTATGAGAATAGTTTTCAACTTCTGAATATCCAGAAAGGATTCTGGGGACTACCAGGGCCTAGGGATTTCACACCTGGAGAACTTTGGCCAATCATCTATTAAAGAATCAGGACATGGGCAGGGTGTGGTGACTCACACCTGTTATCCCAGCAGCTTGGGAGGCTGAGGCAGATGGATCAGTTGAGCTCAGGAGTTCGAGACCAGCCTGGGCAACATGGCGAAACCCTGTCTCTACTAAAAATACAAAAATTAGCTGGGCATGATGGCAAATGCCTGTGGTCCCAGCTACTCGAAGGCTGAGGTAAGACGATTGCTTGAGCCTGGGAGACGGTTCCCAAAAGTGGCTGTAGCGAGCTCTGATAGTGCAACTGCATTGCAGCCTGCGCAACAGAAACCTTGTCTCAAAAAAAGAAAGAAAAAGAATCAGGACATGAATGCTGCCTACTTTTGTGATCTTGGGCAAAAATAATGGACTTCAGTTTCTTCACACATAAGAAATTGTTAGATTTGGTCCCCCATGCCTGTAATCTAACTATGTCTGTCTTTACTGTATCAAGTCTAAACTATTCTGTCTAGCTCCAGTGTCCTCTGTAATTTGACTCACACCACTTTTAAATTGTGTATGCCACTACAATAGGAGACTCTCCATTTTTGTAAAGTGAATTTATTCTTGTTCCTTAAAGTGTGGGCATCACTTGGGAACTTGTTAGAAATACTAAATATGTGACCCCATTCCTACTGAATCGGAATCTGCAGTTTAACAAGATCCCAGACAGTATATCATCTATTCTGATTAGTTTAATAAAGATTCATCTCTACACATTTCTTCTTCTGCTCCAGTGGCTCTCAACCTTGGCCTTTCATGAGAACCACCTGGGGAGTTTTTAAAATCTCAGTGTTAAGACCAATTTATTTTGAATCTCTTGGGAGAAGCTGAGGGGAGTATTTGAAACTTTTCCTTATAACTGTTAACAAAGTTATATATCTGTTTCTTTTATCAAATGCTCTAATAACAACTGCTATTTGTTAAGCAGTTACTGTGGCCAGCCACTGTGCTAAACTATTTATATCTCATTTAATTTTTACAATCTGTTATGAAAGAAGTACTCTTATAGATGAGAATACTTGGTTTTATTTTACCAGTAATGATTATCAGTAATGATTGACAATATAAACAAAAAGCTCTTGAAGATTATCAGTTTTAAAACCATTGTAAAGGGATTCTGAGACCAAAAAGTTTGAGAGACTCTGGCTTAACTCTTCTGCCTGGTTGCCCTTTCCCAGCTTGTCTGCCTGATATTGGCAAAATCCTTTGTTCGTAGTAATACTTAACAAAATGCAGGTTTTCTTTCATTCTTGAAATCCAATAAAAAATTTATTGCAACACTTTGTGTGAAGTACTGCTAAGGATAGAAAGATAAGGCTCAGCTTCCAAAGACTTCAGAATAAATTGGGGGAATGTTAAAAATATTTATGAATTCCTTTAAAAACAAGCCCATTTAAATTTAATGTAAAGTAACATTTTATGAAAAATAACTGTTTCCCAAAAATCAAGAATTTGAGCCTAGCTTTTGTTTGTTTGTTTGTTCTAAAGTCTTAACTCCTTTCTCACTCAATTTTTTTCCTGCTATTCTGTCACCAGTTGAAAGGCCAGCAGTATGAAGGAATGACAAGCAGCAACTTGGATGTGTTTTAAATGCACTGTGCCAAATGACACCAGCCAGACTGAAAAGACAACATACTATATGAAGGCATTATGACATTCTGGAAAAGGCAGAAACTATACCAACAGAGAACCTATAGTGGTTGTCAGGGTGATACTGGAGGGCTGAGGGATATCTCCAAATATAGATGGGATCTCAACCCCAGCTGGTTTTCAGGCTCTTGACGTTGTCATGAGAAGACCTTCAAGGGGAAGTCAAAAAATAGTGAAAGTATGGAGATTTATTAAAGGGAAAAGTACCACTCAAGAAAGCGGAGTGTGGTCATCCTTAAGAGAGAGAGACACACAGTGGGTTTGGAGTTTCTAGCTTTATGGGTTTCTTTAATCAAGGTATATAATCATGAAAATTCCTGGAAAAAGATAGAGGTTTCTTGAAATTGTGGTGCCACCCATTTTTACATCAAATATGAGTGGTCTTGGAACTGCCATAGTGCTGGTAGGTGTGTGATTGAGCATGTTAATGAGCATATAATACGGTCCTAGGTGAAACCTGGGTCAGATCCATTGTCATGTTAGGTCCAGTGGGTCTCAACCAGCTTGGTCCACACCCTGGTTTTTCAGGGTCTTATTAGCCTATAGTCTCTAGTCATGTAAAACTGCTGCCTGGAATTTTTTTGACCCTTGTGACCATCCTGCATTATTCCTGTCTTAAGGGCTAGGGGCAGAGAGAGGGATTAACTAAAAAGGGACAAAGGAATTTTCTGAGATAATGGAATTGTTCTTGTGTCTTGCTTGCGGTAGAATAATTTGGAAGCTGTAAAAAAACTAGTTTGGTAGTTTTATTAGTTTCAGTTAGGCTTCTAAACTATAGGATGCTCAGAAAGAAAGTAACAGATGAATCTGTTGAAAAGTGAAAGGACAAAACAAGGCTTTTAAAAGTACCAGAGCTCTTACTTAGAACAGTGGTTCTCAAGATTGGCTCAGATTGAAATCCTCAGGCATTTAAAGTACTGATGCCTGGAGGCACCTTATTTTCCATTGATAGAATTGATTGGGGAATGTAGGGAAGGTGTAACGGTACTTAAAAGTTACCCAGGTGGTTCTGACTCACAGTGGAGGCTGAAATAACATAGTCTCTGTCTGCAACTCCCTGTAATTGAGTAGAATAGAAGTTCTCCAACTATAGCCCTGGACCAGCAGCAACCTTACCTGGGGAAGCTGTTACAAATACAGATTTTCTAGCACCACTCCAGACTTCTTGAATCTGAAATTCAGAGGATGGGGCCTAACAGTCTGTGCTTTAACAATTGCTGCAAGTGATTCCAATGCCTCCTAAAGTTAGAGAATCATTAAGTCCTTTACTCTGTGAAAGTCACTAGAATGGCATTGGTAAGTATTACGAGTAACTGGTTGACTAGAGATGTCAACCTCTACCTCTGAGTGAACTTTTTTCAGTGGCAAGCTTTTTGCTGTGCACATGTATCCATTTTCAGCATTGACTTTTCTTTGTTTAATGCTCTTTAAAATTTAAATTATAATATAATATGATAATTGCATGGTGATTACTGGCAGTTAATCTTTAGCTGAATGCTATTCTTGAACTGTCAGAACAGAAGTTAATTTTCATCTAAGTTATATTCTGTAATGCTTCAGTAATAAGGCTAGGATAGAACAGCTTCTACTCATTTCTCCTTTAGGCTGGAAAAATCTACAGGGAAAAAATATATTCAAAGCTAGTTGTAACGATAATGTGTGAAACCATTAATGGCTACACTGTGTTTGGTGAGGAAATTAAGTGAGCACTGTTATTAATAGTATTGTGTGTGCATGCCTATGTGATGTACTGCATTCATGAATTAGGCTTTGAAAATTATACATCTTGGACAAGTTTTTAAGGGATATTGGGCTTTCCTTACACAATTAAAATAACCGTTATTTCACATAAGGTTTCCTGCTAGAAACTTTCAAACACATACAAAAATCAGATAAATACATCGGGTAATAACAAACATCTCTTTTTGTTCTATTTCAGGCTATTTTGGCATTCTGCTGGATATATGTTCGTAAATACCAAAGTCAGCGGGAAAGTGAAGTTGTCTCCACCATAACAGCAATTTTTTCTTTAGCAATTGCACTTATCACATCAGCACTTCTACCAGTGGATATATTTTTGGTTTCTTACATGAAAAATCAAAATGGTACATTTAAGGTAAATATAATCTTACTTTGCAGATTTTTTTTTTTCCTTTCAAATTTCTGGCACACTTAGCAGTGCAGTATACTTTGTGTTTTATTTTTGTATCTGGGAATGAATGAAAATGGAAATATAGCTTAGAGGCTAAGAATGTGACATCTAACCTGATAGACTAGAAGCAGGCTTTTAATTGACGTAAGAACTATTATATTAATTCAGCAACCCTGCAGATGCTTTAAGTAACCATAATAGGTAATACTGAATTCTAGCTCGGTCGGGAGACCCCCACCCAGGTGGTGCTGAAGGTAATGAAAGGCAGACACCCAGACAGAATAGCAAAATGGTTCTATCCAGGGGGCCAGCAGCCTATCAAGCTGAGATCCTCAGAGGCTAACAGCCTTCCAGGCTGAAGGCCCAAGCAGATTCTGCTCCGTGTATTTATTCTCACTTAAACAGGTGATTCTTACTAATAAAGAGGTTTTCTGTATTTACTCATAACTCAAAAATATACCAAGTAGGCAGCTGTTACCCACCTACCACTAATTACAAACTAAAAGGTATTCTTCACAAGGGAACCATGGGGGAAGGGTAAACTTAATGATTCCTCTATAAGGTTATATATTTTTTGCTGCCTGTAACTCCCTTGAAGTTTATTTGATTTGCATTAATGCAATAAATAAATAATTTAGAAGGGCTTTGTTAGTGGCAGATCAGGATCCTAATCTCTGTTTCATATTGAGTACTTTGAGTCAGTATGGTACAGTGAATTAGGGTGGGAATCATAAGACCTGGGTTGTAGTCTTGACCCTTAACTGCTAACTGTCTACTACTAGCCAAACCACTTAACTTTTCTGGACTTGAGGGTCCTCATTTTAAAAATGAAGGGTATGGACTAAAGGTTTCTGAGTTTCCTTTAAATTATGCAAATTACTTTTAAGTTTCCTACTAGCGCAAGGTTCTGTGACTCAGGAACTGTCTCTTTGTTGTTATACCCCAATATTTACCTTTAGTACTTACATATTTGAATGAAATAATATTTCAGTTATCTTAATAATGTGTGATTACAAAATAACTTCCTGAATTGGGCTATATTGGGTAAATTGTTTTTATTTTATATATATATTTTTTTAAACTTTTATTTTATATTACATGTATGTAAAAAATTGTATTCAGATGGCGGCTCACTCTGTTGCCTAGGCTGGAGTGTAGTGATGTGATCTTGGCTCACTGCAACCTCTGCTTCCTGGGTACAAGTGATTCTCATCCCCCAGCCTGCCAAGTAGTTAGGATTACAGACATGCAACCACCACACCTGGATAATTATTTTTGTACCTTTGGTAGAGATGGGGTTTCACCATGTTTGCCAGGCTGGTCTTGAACTCCTGACCTCAAGTGATCCACCCACCCGGCCTCCCATAGTGCTGGTATTGCAGGCATGAGCCACCATGCCTGGTCTAAATAAGGCAAATAATTTGAAAATATTTTTGTAGTTAGATTGAAATTTATTCTGGTTGTTTTGAAAATTAGATATATTCTGATTGCTGTGAAAACTACATTTTTTTTCTGTACACCATTTATTTAGTGTTAATTGAGCACTTAGTGTGTACCAAACACTATAATGTTTTACAGATAGCAACTAACATCTACTGAATATTTGCTATGTATCAGACTCTATTTTAAGTGATTTATATTTAGTAACTTCCTTTGATCTCTCAGACAATCCTGTGAGGTAAGTAGTATTACCTATGTTTTTTGTGGGTGAAAAATCAAGGTTCAGAGAGGTGAAGTAACATAGCCTGTAAGTGCTGAAGCTGGAATTTGAAGCCCTGCAGTCTGGTTCCAGAGGGCTTTGTTTATCAGGTTTCTTGGGAAGATGGCTTCTAAACAAGTATGAGGTATTTTCAGGCAGCTCAGTAAATATTTCAACCATTTGGGTTGAAATATAACTTCTGGAGAAAATGACTAATTTTAGTGGTATTGGGTTTTCTCTGCTTTTTATTATTGGGCAAGAAGAAATACAGTTTAATAATGTTAGACATAGATAATCGAATGGTTGATTGTAACATTATGAGATCATTTTCTCTGAGAAATAAGTGTTATTTTAGAATTAAATTCTGTAAAAATGATTAATTTCTGTGCCTTTGTATATAGCTATGTTTCTTGGATAAGAGATTTTGACATTTTCAGAATGTTTGAATATTCTTTTTATTTTAAAATAGTGTAGTGTAATTCCAAATGTACAGTACATAATTATAAATTTCTAGTATATTTTTCTCTCTGAAAGCTGTTAAGGTTAAATAGATAAGGATATATATGTATTTATGTGTATTTTACTGTATAGAAGTCATATAATTATCCCTGGTATAATTGTTTAAATAGGAGATTTTTTTTAGTTTAGAACTTAGGATGTTTATTTAGATTTTGTGGGAAAATGTTTCATCTTTAAATTTCTGAAGTATTTTCATGAAATTATGAACTTTCTGTTAGATTAAGTATTGTTTTGGGCCCATGCTTAAATTAGTGGTCACTCCCTGGAAAATAGCTTTGTTTTGCTTCGTTTTTGATGTTTAAATCTATGAGATTGCATTTTACTTTTTTGAGTAAGATTTTAAGAATCCATTCACTAAAGAAGCAAAAATATTACTAATAATTTGGGTGCTTGTTTTAATACATATGCCTTAAAAGAAAGCAAATACATGGCTGTAGTTAATGCACTTTCTATTTGACACCAATATTTAGAAGGGGAACATATCTGTTAAAGTTTTTCCCTTCACTTTTTAAAACTTTGTTTCATTGTTAGGATATTAATTATTCAGCAATTGTTGGTTCTCTTTTGTTATTTTTTTGAGACGGAGTTTTGCTCTTACTGCCCAGGCTGGAGTGCAATGATGCGACCTTGGCTCACTGCAACCTCTCTGCCTCCTGAGGGCAAGCGATTCTCTTTCCTCAGCCTCCTGAGTATCTGGAATTACAGATGCACACTACCACGCTTGGCTAATTTTTTTGTATTTTTAGTAGAGGTAGGATTTTTTGTATTTTTAGCAGAGGTAGGGTTTTACCATGTTGACCAGACTGGTCTCAAACTCCTGACCTCAGGTGATCCACCTGCCTTGGCCTCCCAAAATGCTGGGATTATAGATATGAGTCACTGTACCTGGCCTTTTCCTACTTTTCAATTTAGTCTCAACTAGAGACTAAGTTGTCTCTAATTCTGTTTGCTTTTAGCTTAGATAATGTATCAATTTTTTCTTGGTAGTTTTTTTGATACCTTGCAACATTTTGTGTGTTTGTATTTTCCCTTCAGATTTTATGGGGCATGGTGAGGATTAGTGAAATTCATGAGTTTTTATTTGAAACTGGACTATTTGCTGAGTCTCAAAAGTAGAACTGAAAAAAATTTTGTTTTAAACATTTTCCTGATGAACTGTAGACACTAGTTTTTCCTAAAGTTATTGCTGAATTCTCTTCAGGTACCTAGTGAAAGATAAGGTTAAGTATTTAAGAATTCTTCAGCCGGGCGCGGTGGCTCAAGCCTGTAATCCCAGCACTTTGGGAGGCCGAGGCGGGTGGATCATGTGGTCGAGAGATCGGGACCATCCTGGTCAACATGGTGAAACCCCGTCTCTACTAAAAGTGCAAAAAATTAGCTGGGCATGGTGGCACGTGCCTGTAATCCCAGCTACTCAGGAGGCTGAGGCAGGAGAATTGCCTGAGCCCAGGAGGCGGAGGTTGCAGTGAGCCGAGATCGCGCCATTGCACTCCAGCCTGGGTAACAAGGGCGAAACTCCGTCTCAAAAAAAAAAAAAAGAATTCTTCAAACTTCATGCTACGATTGTAAATTTAGTCATGTTAGAGTAAAAAGGGTGCCACTATGGTTTTTTTTATTTTTTTTTATTTTTGCCACTATGGTTTTAATCTATTCCGACCTTATTTATAAGGATAAATGTACAAGTTGACATTGTTTTCCATGATGAATGATATTGTATCTTAATATTTATAATGTACATTTTAAATGTACATTATATTATTGCCTTATATTAAATGTACATTTAAATTCCTAAATGAATATATGCATTCTTTTATTTTCTCCACTTCCACCTCAAATATTTTGAAGCCTCTTTCTAATCATGGACTTGGCTTGCAAGGTATAATTATTTGGAAATTCCATGTATCAATGATTGCTAACATTTTGCTTAAGAACAAAAGGTGCACAGGCTTTTCTGTGAGCAGGCAGTCAATGCTAGGTTCTGTATTTTTGTTTTAGGTATGCTTCTGACTTTCTCTGCCTTATGGCGGGAATGTTATAATGCCCAAGTTCTTTCTGTTGACCTTTCTTTCAACATACGGCATTATTAATAATTTTAGCTAATTTACTTGTTTCTAGCTGTTTTCTAAAATAATTAACTTTTTAGATAACGAAAAAAGAATCTTTAAAAGCACAGCTGGATATGCTGTCTTTAATAGTCTTTGATAGTTGGCCAAATAACATTGCATGGTAATATACATGAAGTATACTGGTCCAATGGGGGAAAAAAAAGAAATTGACACTAATCTGAATATTCTTTCTTTTATACAACCTGTAAAAATAAAAACAATTAGTTAATATTAAGATATATCATGAAAACATTTAGTGTTTTGGTATTTGTTCATATCTTGCTCTTGTCCCTAACTATGAATCTCTTTATGGCCTGTTATTATTAGCTTTCTGGGCCAAACTCTACTGCTTTCTCATTTCTGTTTTCAAATGGGGGGAATTGTATCTTAGAACTTTGGGCTCTTTATCGAACCTTAACTATATTTATTTACTTGATACTTACTAAATATGTAATAAGTGGCGGACCATTAATCTCTATATACTGGAGATTAATCATTAAAGCAAATGAGGTTGCTGTTCTCCTGGAGCTTAGTCTGCAAGGCCAGACCAATAGTCAATAAATAAAATAAGGTATAGGCAAAAATTCTATGAGGAAATATAGCAGATTGATATGAGAGTCTAGTCAGGTTATGAGTGTCTG